TGTGGATTAACCAGCAGATTTCCCCCGTGTGATAACATCCTTAGAGTACCCTTCAATCAAATGTGATTAAAATTAACTTCCTTTCCTATTTCTTTGTTATTTGTTTGCTCTTCCCCTTGCCCAAATTGTCGGAGTGAAAAATATATACAAAAATATGTATATTATGAAAATACATACATAAAAATGCATCCTTTTTAACCTATAACAATAGTAAACCAAAATTCATTATATTTGAGAGAAATGCATGGGAAGAAAATTCATGTATTTGGTAACATGCGTGCTGGCACAAAATATACATGAGGAGAAAAGTGCGCATACACACACACAGACTTCTTAAAAATTCCAAATAGCTGCAAAAATGGACTCTAAATATCTGAGTAAATGTGTGCTGGGTTGGGCTGTAATGGTTTGTCAGTTAATTTATGCCAAAAAACTTTTTGCCAGAAAAGGTACTCATGCGATAAAGAGTGAGAAAGCATTTTGAACACTTGAAAGAATGGCAAAGGATTTTGCGTAATAATAACAAAGCTAACATTTCTGAAAACTTGCTTGAGACAGTGTGTGTTTGAGGGATTAATCCATATTTGTTAGCAACCTTTGATTATATTTCCTTCTGCAGTTGGTGAGCTCAGGTGTTTGGCACACCAGAGCAGAAACTGGGGTCAGTGACATAGCTTGTCTGTGCGTCACTCTTTCGAGTTTAATAATTTCTTGGCAACAGACTGGTTAGTTTGTTTTAATAATTACTCATATTCATAGAGTGCTTTTCATGTAAGTACCTTGATCACTTTAAAAATAAATATTAATTGAGGCTTGTGTTGTCCTGTTGTGTTAACAGAGTGCACTAGAACACTAAGTACATTAACCATGGTCAAGTATGGAGTAGGTGTCAGGGCCTTTCCTCAGCTTATAATGTTGATTTCTCATGAAGAGGAGCATTTAAATATATCTCTCCTTTTACTTCACAAAACACTAGATAGGCAGATTAGGATATATTGATGGGGAATTATATTATGAAATTTTGGTTGGAAACTCAGTGGTGCAATTACCGTATTTTCCGGCGTATAAGACGACTGGGTGTATAAGACGACCCCCAGTTAAAATATAGAGTTTGGGATATACTCACTGTATAAGACTACCCCTCTTCCAATGCACACCAAATAAAAATTTTAAAAAACCATCAGATTTGATTTCAATATGGTAATTTTAATTAACGGCTTATGACATGCAGGTACTTAGCAGAAAAACAAACTACAGCTCCCATGTTCCCTAGCATTTATTTCTGCAGTGTGTTTTGGACCTTACTTTTTAAAAAATAGTCCAGATTTAAATGCTGCTTTAAAAATTATTTCCACCTCCCAGCTATGAGATGGTTGGAAGGAAATGAGAAAGTGTTGGGGGGAAGGACTGCCAATATACTAGGTGATGCATTCTGGGATATGTACAATTTGTGGCCAAGTAAGTGACCCTGGGCATTTCACACACTCTCAG